GAGTTCAGTTTGCCATTATCATAAAATTCAGCAAAGAATCTTGCAAAATCTGCCTTCAAGAACTTCCAGAATTTAATGAAAAACTCTGCTGTAAAGCCATCGGGCCCCGGGGCCTTATTCTTGCCAAGGCCTTTTAAAGCATCCCAAATTTCTCCTTCCTCGAAGTGTCTTTCTTACCGGACACTATTCTGAGCGGAAATAGGTCTCCAATTGAAGCCAATTGGTAAACAACCAAGGAGCCATCCACTGAAATTTAGCATGGATATTCAAGCAAGAGTACCGAATTTGTGTTTGCATTTGATGCCTTGGTAGCACGATCATAGCATAGGATTCGGCAATAAGAGCTTCCAGTGCAAGGAATGTAGTTTGTGAAAAAATTGGAAAGTAGATAATGCATGGGACAGTGATGCCCACTCCTAGATTTCAGCTTCTCTAAGATGCCTCCTAAAACCCATCTCCCAAAAACTGTCTTCATCCCATGATTCTCGGATGGATGCATCTTCATTGCTGGATAAGGCAAAAAGCAACTAACTGGCATTAGCTAATGCGCCATTACGGGTCCATTGGTTTTTTTCAAAAGAGGGTGAATGAACCGTCGCCAATCCTAACCTTAATTTTACTATGAACTAAATTTTACATTTCTACCTCCACCTAACATCCTCCTTGGCTAAAGTATTCAAGCACTTTAGTTTAATCTCCATTCTCAAGTTTTTTTCATAAGAAACACTCTGTAAAATTTTCTTGAAACAGCAGTATAGATGAGACAAGACAAAACAAAAAGACATAAGATAAGACATCTCACCCATTAAGCAGTAAGCAACATCCATTCTTCCAACTTTCTATCAAATTAATTACTTCTAAAAAAAGATTTCATGTTTTATTCTCCTCAATCAATATTGGTAGTATATTTTTCCTTGGCACTAGAGTAAATAGTAGAGAAAATATGGCAAAATAATGAAGTTGATGAGCCATTTGTCCTCCCAAAATCTAGTCCCCACACCATTGCCAACCAACGAAACTGTTATTGAGAACCTTCCAACATTGGACCATGGGCTTTTAGAATTCCATGGCGTGTCAAAAATGGCTGTAACCTTGCCACTCTTCCAAGCAACATCACCTTCAATGACATCCAAGATACTAACCATTGTTGCATTGATGACTTAGAAGCCTATCATCTAAACCTTCGTTCAAACATGCACCAATCTGAGGAGTGAAAATCCAACCCTCCCTCCCCTGCTATCCAAGGCTATTTGGAAGTTCAAAGTTCCCAAGAAGATTAAGATTTTCTTGTGCACTCTCCATGATGAGGGCCATGATACTCATACCGCTGCCATGATTCAAATAAGATATACCCAACTACTACCCTCTCCTGATTGGTGCACCCTTTTCACAAAGTAGAAGAAAAAAAGTACAACACAAGAGGTGGTCCGAAGAATACACCAAGAAAGGACGAAGAAAAGATTGTATTCTTTTTCCGTATTTTATCTATATGGTCCGTATTGCGGTCTTACAGTATAACAAAAGCTCTAAGGCAGCTGCAAAGTCCGAGTCATATTTCTTTGTTCCACGAATAAAACATAGAAATAACTCTCAACACAAAACCGAATATACTAAAGTTCCATCGGTTTAGCTCACCGTGGCACCAGAGCAAAAAGAGAAAGAAAAAAAGAACACATTTTCCACGCTTTTCACCCAGCAAAGGTGAAGAAATAGCATTGAGAAAGAAAATTTTCCAGTTAAGAAATTGAGGCGATGTTGAGTAGCTAACAGTCAGAGTGATCGTGCCCGAGTATACCATAAAAGAGCAAAAAGCAACAAATCATCCATCCGAAAACATTAAGCGAAATTGAGTTCCAAACCTGAGTTCTTCCAACGAGAATCGATCCCTGGATCTCCAGAAGGAAAACCACATGGCTGAACAATCAGAGCCCTGAATTCAGATACCCAGTAATCATTCTGTACCCTAAACCCAATCCATCTCAGAATTGAAGGTCCAATAAGGCTTGAGAGAAGTTGTTGCTTGACAGGGGGCAATTGATGAAGGTTTTCCAATCCGATCGAGAGTTCATTCGACAGGGGAAGGAGCGATGGAGATCTTGATCAAGGCGAATTTGGGTTCTTTGTTTAAAAGATACTGCAAATTGCAAAAGAAAATTGAAAATGCAACTGTTGTGAAGAAGAAGAGAGCCGGGAATTGTTGGAATTCCGATAGCAAACGGAAGATTTGGCGGAGGAAAGAGAAAACGCTTTGGAGTTGGAGCTGAGAAACCAAATTCCGTTCGTCGGACTCAAAAGTATTGAATTGATGGAATCGGACTTTGCCGGTGGATTGGGCCATTGTTGTATGCATATAATTGGGCCAACCGTCAGAACATAGATGAGTTCAGATAACGAGAAATTGACTGATTAATCCAATATTCCTTTTTTTTCCAAAGATTCTAACCCACGATTTTTTATCGAAAATACATGTTTGAACTCTGTTAATTATTTGATAATTTAACACAATATAATATATCAAATAAAGTGGTTTATAAAGTTTTAAATATTATCGGTCTTCGATTTTTTGATCGACGATATATGCAGTTGAACTCTATTCAAGTTGGTCGATTTTGATGTAGTTTGGACTAATTTTTGTAATTTAGACTTTTATTCATTTTAGTATATTTATCCTTCTAATACTTTGTTTTGGTTCTTGTAACTTTAAAAACCAACAATTTTCATCGTTATTTGTAAAATTTTAACACAAAATCGAAATAACGCACTATGTACCAAAAAATTCTGAAAAAACTGTAACAAAATATTAACCAAAATTACATATAATTAATTCATATTTTAATTAATAACAAAAACATATGCGACAATGGAACCTTATTACAAGCCTTCTCCAACCAACAAAATTTAACCTTACTACATAATCATTACAATATTACATCATCAATATCTCTAAAAACACAACATTATTATATTTTGATTTCAGAGCATAAATCTCCAAACTAATATTATAATTATATTAACATATATGAATCTGAATGTCACCAGAGGCTGGCTTGATGCTCTTGAGAAGCTGAGCTCTTCCAAAGTAGAGTTGGAAATTATTGATATCATCAGAATCAACCGTGATAGAGAGGTTTTTCAGTAGACGACCATAGTGCAGAAGATAAGCCAGAAAGTAGATTTCGTGGTGCTTTCCTGTGAAGCACTTGGCCTCCACTGTCTCTAGAGACGACGATAAGCACTTTATGATAACCATATTTGTGGCCCAGAAGCTGGCGATGTCCATTGGAAATGGTGGTTCATATTCCTATTAACAAACAACAAACATAAATTAATTTCATTAATTCATCATTTTTTTAAAATCTTTTCAAAATCAAAGTCAAAATTTTGAAAATTAAAAAGAAAAAAAGTGATTTTTAAAAATATGTTTTTTTTCCTGTTAAATACAGTTAAGATAATTCAAATTTGTTTTCGTTAAACACATGCTAAAGAAATCATGGGAAAAAGTATAATTTTGAAAAAATAGAAAACAAAAAACGCAACGGAGCCTTAGTTTGTATAATTAACTAAAATGTGAAACCCTAGAAAGAAAAAGTAAATAAAAGGGTGACTCTTTGTTAAGTTTCTAAAAAATTAGGGATTGTATCAACTATTAATTTCTAGAACTGTTCATTAGTGCTATATGCCACGTTGAAGTTATTACTTGACACACTCGTGTTTATGAAATATAGAATAACTTCATTTATGATTAAAAGAAATAGGGTTTTTTTTTTCATAAACTGTGTTAAAGAAATAATAATTAGAAATAAATTCAAAGAAAAAACAAAAATAGATTTTTTTTTTTCAAGTCATTCTAAATACAGTTTTAAGTCTTAAGTAGAATTCTCAAAAGATAAAAATTGATTAAAAATATTTTTAGTTTTTAAAATTTAATCAGAATTTACAAAAGCACAAAATAAACATAAATAAAATGTAAATTACAAAACAACGGATAAATTAATATTCTAATTTTAATAAACGATTTTCTCTATGATTAACAATCCCTTTACTTCATTTTTGGTTTTTAAAATTTCATAGGGAGAAACTATCAGCAAACAAATTTATTCCCTCGAAAACACATGGAAAACAATCGTAAGTAATTGAATTAAAACAAAAAACGAAAATGGTGAGAAAAAGAAAATACTCACATGGAAAATGGTTGCTTGGCCAAGAACGAGAGTGAGGATCTTCAAATGGGGTGAACTATTCAAGAGAAAAGTTATGCCATAAAATTCATTTGGATGCACATTTGTCCTCAACGTTAAATGTTGTACATTCAATGGCGCTTGCATCCGAATTGGCTCGTCCCCTTTTGGAATAACCTTCATAAATAATAATATCAACTTTATAACCCCAACCAAAGAAAAAAAAAATTATATATGGCTAAATTACACTTCTACCCTTCTATTTTTAGAACAAATGGAAAACATGAAAGAAGTTTCATTTAGACAAAATAAAAATAAAAATAAAAAACACCAATTAGAAACATGGACAGGATTATCAGTTYGATAGCCATTTCGATTTTAGTTTTCTGTGTTAAAGAAATTGATTTACTTTGATATAATTTTTACTTTTCTTATAGTCAATTTGAATTCTGAGTAGAATTACACCAACAAAAATTAATAGTTTTCCAATTTTGGCTGCAGATTTTGGAAACATTTTTCAAACTTTGATTATTTTAAAASAAGTGTGAAAGATTCAGTAATTTGAACTAATATATATACCTGAAGCAAAGAACTGCAAACACTCAAAACTTTGGCAGGATAGAGACTATCAAGAAGAACATAAAGAAGGTTAGCGAGTTCCGAACTATCATGATCTTCTTCAATGTGAAAGCCAAGATCAGCCTCTTCGAAGCACCGATTCACTTCCATCCGGAACGAACCAACGCTCCCGAAGTATCGAAAGTACGTCAGATTCGGCGCCTCGATCGAAATCCAATCGTGAAGAAAATTGCAATTCTCAATCGCCAAACTCCTCAGCCTCAGATGATCGTTCCCCCCAATCTCAAGATGCGCAATGTTCCAGCACTTCTTCAATCTCAAACTCTCCAGCATCTCACATTTCCTCAACAAATCCCTAATTTCTCCGATTCCGACTTGATTCCATCCCAAACAGAGGTGCTTCAGCGATCGCAACTTCGCGAACTCCGCCGCCCGAAATCTGCACGAAAACAGCTTCAGAGATCGGAGATTCTCGTGGCCGTAGACGATCGGAGGCAAATCGAACATTTCTGCGTGATTCTCGCCGTCGTTGACTAATTCGCTCCACGTCGCGTCGGAGAAATCGAGCTCCAAGGTCTCGACGTCKCGAGAAACAGCGAATCGAATGCAGGCCTCGATCTCATCGACGAAGCCGCCGCCGCCGCCGTCGCCTCTCGGATTCGAGAACGAGAGGGCGAACTTACGAATCGTCGGTTCTTCGTAGTCTCTGATGAAATTCGTCGCGAAATCGATAAAAACTCTTCTCCGAGCGTCTCTGATTCGCTGATCGGATTCCTCTGGCCGGACGAAGAAACTTTCCTGCAACTCGATGTTCTTCGTTGCTTGCCAAATCTTCACCCAACGCTTCGATAAAATTGAAGTTCTCACAGCCTCCTTGAATGGCAGAGAGGAGACGATGATCGATAACAATGCATCAGGCAAAATATCCAATCTGTCCATTTCCGCCATGGCTACCGTTGAGAGAGAGAGATTTGAATATGAAACTGTGCAAGTTGACGGTATTTATAGGATTTTTCGAATGGGCGCGAGAAGACGACGGTTGAAATTTTGGTACTTTTGAAAATAAAATTTAAAAAATTAATAATTAGATATTTTGAGGATAATTAAAAGCGATTATAGCAATATGAGAAAGTAAGCATTTTTCTTCCTCAAAATGTTCTATTGCTAATATCTCTTTTCCTAAATTTGATTTTTAAATTAAAAGACTAACTTTTAAAGGATAAGTCCCACATTTTAGTTTATACTTACCTTGAAATTTAGTTAAATTAATTTTTTCCCTCGTAAATGTTGGAAGTTTAACGGTATCATTAACGACCATGAGAAATGATTTTAGATCGCATAAATAAACCTCCCTGAATCAAAATTATAATAAAATTAAATAATATGTTATTARTGATGTTAGTTGYTTATATTTTTCTTACGTATATGGTAAAAAAGCAATGTCGTTTTCAAATACRTCACGTGGAAAACTGGAAAACTTATCTTAGGTTATTGGTTTTTTCCTCTCCTTTGCAAAAACAAAAATGTATTGTAAATTAAAGGTATATGTTAAATCCCTTTCTAATTATTTAGGCCGCATTACTTAGAAAGAATGAGAATCAATCGAAATGTTATTTCTCATTTATTATAAATTTTATCGAATCAGAATCTRAAAGTTTATTTATTAAACTATTTGAAATTAAAATAGAAATTAGATATATAACATTATTAGTGCATTCTCTCTTTAAGAAAATACTAACACACCCCTTTCTTATTCTTAGATAACTAAAAATTGTGTTAATATAATTTCTAATTAAAATGATAATAAATTTTAATTTATTTCATTACTTTGATAGAAAATCATTTTATTGTGACAATTTATATCATAATAACAAATAATACATATTATTAAAATAAACAACATCAACTAAAAATGATTAATATAATTTTGTTATGAATATTATCTTACTTAGTGTCTTATTGCCCAATACTCARAGTGTCTTGTTGCCATTTATTGTCGTGTCCAAATAATTGCACCTCATGTTGCCAAAATTACTTATAAATAAAGATTTTTTTGGTGGTTCATTATCCTATTTTCATATTTTCTCTCTATCTTTTCATTGATATTTTTTTATATGTTTCAATAATGCCTTGTTTTGTTCCTAATTTCACAACAAATTTTTGTTAAGACAATTATCCTTAATATTGTTATCTTATAATATATAATAACGATGAATTCTATTTTAGCAATTTTATTTTATATTAATTAATAATAACAAAATCAAATCAAATAATTGACAAATTAAATAAAAATTTTATAATATTTTATAATAAAATCACATTAACTCAAAAATGTTGGATAGTTTTTTTTTATCCGAGAAACATTATTAGTAATACAAATAAATAAATAAAGTTGTAAAAAAATTAATAAAAAAATTATGAGTATCATTAATATATGAGAGAGAATGAGTAAAATTTGTAAAGTAATTATTGAGAACGTGTAGAGTCTACRAACCAAAATAGTAATAAAATTGATTGAATTGTAGGGGTGAAATGGAATTAGCGATTTTCAAGTTTTAGTGAGGTTCACCAATCATGCAATGCATGAGGAATAAAAATTTTCATTCGGAAAACAAAAATAAATGTTTAAAAAATTATTTTTTTAGTTTTCAAATTTTAGCTTAAATTTTAAAATATTTATAAGAAGTTGATGACAAAATAAAGGTATATATAGATTTTTAAAAATAGAGAGAAAAAAAACATATGGTATCAAATGGGCCTAATTTATAATTTGCAGTGATAATAAATATATACTCTATTGCAGTTTATATCAGCACAATTTTAAATAAGTGGTAAAATTAAAWGTCCTTCCAAATATAGATGGTAAATGTAGACACTGACTTAATATTTGAAAAAAAARATAGAAAATATAATATATTACATATAATAATTATACACAATCTATTTTAAACAAAGGATTTAATTATTTATTTTTTCTAGAATATTATATTATAATGAAAGTGAGAATTCAACGACGGACAATCTGAAAAAATAAAAATACCTTAACGCGATACATTGAGTTGTGGTTAAGATCAAAGTGTTTTTTTAATTTGTCTGATTTGAAAAATAAAATAAAAGTAGATATAAAAATATATTTGAAAAAAAAAAGTTGAAATATTCAATTTATATATTAAAACACTATCTCTTTTATCCTTTAAAAAATATTTTTAACTTTCCCGCAAACTAAATAATAATAATAATAACAAAATATGAGCTATATGAAAAAATAAATGTCAAAATGAAAATATAAATATCTTTTTCTTATTTATAACACCATTTTTTAGTACACGGACTGAAACCTCGCAACCCGCTTTCCATCGGACGAAAAGTCTTCCAAAAGGTAAAGTACGGTTATTCTTATAAAATAAGGACAACCCACAGCTCCTTAAGYAAAGATAGCAATAGTGTGGGAAGAGAAAGCATAATAATCAACAGAAGCATGACGCATCAACGGATGAAACAGAAAGAGAGAAATCAGATACTGACGAAGTCGAATAAGAAATAAGAAAAGACAAACGAAGTAGCGTTTTCCGTAGAGATTCGAACTCACGACTTTTCAATCCTTATACTTTAAGCTAGATTCAGGTTGGCCTATGACACCATTTATTTATAATAAAAGGAAACTTCATGTTTCTTTCTTGCAAAAGTTATAAATAACTTATTTTATCCTTTTTGTTAAATAGCTTATTTCAATATTGCTTATTTTATCTCATCAAAGTAATATCAAATAGGTTATGGTCCAACTAAAMGAAGTCCAAATGAGCCCAATTAAGTAGTTTAAAAGAAAAAGAAGACCAAACAAAATCTTTCAAATTACATTTATACCAACCAACCTGACTGTTAGTTTCCTTGGGGACTAATAGATTAAGTTTGGAAAAATATTTGTTTATATGTCACCACCTCTTTTTTGCTGATTTCATATTTTAACTTCTATAAAGTTTTTCACCTTTCCAAAAAAATAAAAAACTTCGATAAAGTTTCTTTCTTTCCTAACAGCTGATACAAATTGTTGGTTAGGACAATGTATATGTAGAAGTTTGTTTTCTTTTTAGTATTTATTAGCGAATTTACTCTTTTTTTTTTCCTTTCTAYAGTGGGAGACAGTTGCATGTAATGACAGATCACAACTATATTATTAAAAACTTGAATGGATTATGTTTTAGTGTCAGAAAAGAAATATTCTAAAACTTTCGTATATTCTTTGTTCTTTGTTTGGATAAGACCACCATTAAATTGTTTATAAATAAAAGAGAGAAATGTAGAAAAAGAAATATTCTTCAAAAAGCTAAAGAAATTTCAATTTTTTATTGGGATTTAACACATACGAAGATAGGTGTTGACCAATAGCACTTAAGTATTGATCATCGATTTCTGGCATTGTTTCGTATCCAAAATTGATATTGATCTATCAATGTCCACCCTTCGTTAAGGGATAGATATTCAAATTAATTAAGACATAGGTTATCTAAGTTTTTGTACTTGTGGTTGTTGGGAATGTGGGGCCAAAACGGAAGAGGGACGAAGTAAGAATGAAGAGATCTTGAAGAAGCGGAACGAAGTAAGAATGAAGAGAAATCGAAGAAGCAGTTTTTAGGGACCTTTTGACCAATGAAGCAGTGGTACGACGTTGTAGAGATACATGGGCGCGAGACAATCAAAAGTTTGTAGCGCCATAGCGCTATGTCGATATTTAAAAAGGCAACTTTTTTGTCGTTTAGGTTTTGTGGCACAAAATTAGAAGCAGCAACAATTTGTTTTCACCGAAGGAGGGAGAATAAGTTCTTCAGATTGGCAACATATTCTTACGTCAGGCACTAACTGATCTTCGATATATATATATATATATATATATATATATATATATATATATATTGTTGAAAGTATCTCTAATCTCATTGATAGCAAGTTGGCGCAAATAATTGAATCAGAGTAGTTGTTGAACCATACCACATAGTTCCAGCAACCATAAAAACTGCAGCGGTGAGGTTTTTCATTCTTGTATCCTAAGTATCTATTACTGTAGTGTTTAGAAGTTAGGTAGCTATTGTTAAGACATCTATCGAGAGTGTTTGTAGAGCGTTTGTGAAGCCCATTATAATATATTCAATCACAGGAGAACTTGCACATTGTGGAAGGCTAGACGTAGCTCATGCTTAGGGTGAACTAGTATAAATCTATGTATCGTTTTATCTCTCTCATATTCTTTTTATTGTGTTATTTATGTGAGACTTGCTCATAACTGTAGAAGGGAAAAAATCTTAATTAGACTTTATTGGATAGCTCGTGTAAGGTATATTTCCCGAATTCTTCAAATAAACTACTAAAAGATGACCATTGTTATTCAACATAGTTTGAGTTCATTTGTCAATAGTCCACATCCATATTTTGTGAAGGAAAAAAAAAGGACAATAATTTAAAAACACATCTATAAAAAATCAAAACACAAACTCAGTCATCTTTGTTCTTTTCATCTAAAATGGGAGAACAACATGAAGAAATCTTCGGTGAAAAGAGAATAAGGTTTTTTTTTTTTTTTTTGCGCAATAATGTGAAGGAGTGGTACAAAAATATGAACAAAAGTTTTTTTTTTCTGTTTTGGATTAATGATAAGAGTTTTAACTTATTTAAAAAAATGGAAGACTTATTTTTTAATTTACATATCTTGTATGATTTTTTTAATGATCAATATTTTCACACACCTAAAACATTAATTTGAGGTTTTTTTTTTCGCTAAAAAGCTCACCAATATTTCTTAGAATATTGGTGAATTTTTATTGCATAATTGATGGCAAGGGCCACTTTATTTCTTTTGGAGACTATGTAGAATCCACAGTATATGATAAATATGATGATGACTTGACCTTTTAACTTATGCAAAGGTTGCATGTTATTGGACTTATTTCGTTAAACTTGAGTAGTACGTTATCTTAAATTTACATTTTCCAAATGACATCTTAAATATTTCTATGATTATCGACCTTTTTCTCTTAATTATATTACAAGTTTAGTCTCTCAAATTTTTAAAATTATGTTTAATAAGTACCTAAACTTTGAAGGAAAAAAAAGCCAATTTTGTATTTAATAATTCTACGAATGTCTAATAAAGCTCTTGACTTTCAATATTATATATAATAAGCCTATGAGCTTTCCATTGTCCAATAGATATATGAAGTTTAAAAAAATTAACAAGTAGATGATCCATTAGACACAAAATTAAAAGACTAAAAATCTTTTAGATACTTTGCGACAAATACAAACTCAAAAGTTCAAGTACTAAACTCATAATTTTTCTCTTTTTCCTTTCGTAATTCAAGCAAGCATGTATTATAATGTCTCTTCGAGATACCCATTTAAGATTATAATAAAATCATCACTCTCATTTCCTATTTTCCTTATTGAAGTTGACTCGGGTGGCATGGCACTGTCTGCAGTTTTGTGCTTTTATTTTTCCTTCTAATAAATGAGAATTTTTGCAACCGTAGAAAGACATTTTTTTATCTTCATTTCTAAAAATTTCCTATAATTTTATTTTCCAGACAGAGAGGAAAATAACAAAGAGAGAGAGAAAGGAGAACCAATTCTACTTGGAAATGAGATGACAAGTTGTGAGCCACAGTTGAGAGGTTCTATCAAATGCTCATAGGGCTTTTGCGATCACAAATTGCTGCTATTGCTGTTTCTACTTTTACCTTTACTTCCTCTTCCTCTGCTCTCTCTGCCTGTAAAAACCCAAATTTTACGTATTAAACACATAATTTAAATCTACGTCCTTAAAAAAATAATAATAACTATAATATATCGATCAATTTAACTATGCCTCAAGCGAGAAAAGCTAAACAAAATAATCCTAACTATACCATCACTGCAAGGTAATAGTAAAAACTTGAATAATAGAATGATACTAACACCAAATTTGAATAAGTGGTGAATATTAACACTTCTATTGAGCCACAATATTGATCATGAACTCGCTTTTTTTTCATTTTTAATATAATAACGTGTGAGAATAGAGATTCAAATTCTTTTGATTGAAAATTAATATCTTAATATTGAGTTAAACTCAATTTGATAGTCCAAGAACTGGTTAATAAACCACCCAATATTCAGCCAATAAAATACCCAAAATCAATCCATAGACCATGGATAATGTAGGTGAAAAAAGTGATGGAATTGTAAGTCTCAATAAATGTGGGGGATGGGACGATCATTTTAGAATTAAATTATTGTAATTATTTTATTTGATTAGAACTTCTTGTTTTGTGAGGACAGTCCTTATCCTGACACAATGAAACTTGGCCGCTTCAACAAATTTTGGAAAATCCCATCCCCTGATTCCGGCTCACGTGCTTCTCGGGTTAGCCGACAAATGTAACGACGAAAATTCAAGTTCCCTTTAATAATAACATTTTTTTTATTGTTTTTAATTTATAACATTTTTTGTTTCTTAAAATTTTCAGGTGAAATCAAAAGTAAAGTTTGCATCTAAAGTGAACAATAAAATGTCATATTGAAGACATGTAATTGTCATGATATACTTCGAGAAAACAACTATTAATGTTTTTTTGCTGCAACCCTTTTTAATTAGGGTTTGATTAGAAATGAATGATTTAATGGAGAGAGGGAGAGAGAAATGGACTAACCTCAACAAATAGAGTATTCAAGAGCCTACCGGCGACGACGGTGATATTAGCGGTAATAATTTTGAGGTTGAGCGATTCGATTGCTTGGCTGAGCTTCAATATGGTGTCGCCGCTCCGTCTGCAAGTCAAACTCACAATGATCGTCTTCTCCGCCATGTAGTTCACACTAAGCTGCGATCGATTTCAACTTGATTCCGTCAATTTCGAAGCCCTAGAAAACAAAATAGAAATCCAGTTTCAGAGAAACTCACATCGAGAATTTCGATTGTTGAAGACGACGACGCATCGCCCTCGGAATCACCTTTCGGCTCTCGATTCGCATCCGCTGTCTTCTTCGCCGAAATCTGATCGTCGCCGGAATCGCTCGCCGGAGTTCTCTTCACTTTTCCCGATTCCAGATCCGAGATGTCTGATTCGATTCTCCTCTCCTGCTCTCGCAGCTTTTGGATGTACTCTATCGCGTCTTTGATTATCGACGCCTTGTCCATCTGAAATACCACACATGGAAAATTCGAATTCAAAACCCTTCAACCTAACACTAATTTAATTGATTGAAACATAAATAAATAAATAAATAAAACACATTATATTATAATAAAGGTTAAAAAAATATTTTTGGTCTATATATATTGATTAAGATAACAATTTAGTCCTAAAACTTTCTTTTAGATGGATAACAATTTAATCCTTAAACTTTAATATGTAACAATTTAGCACTTGTAATTTAAAGTCGGTAACGATTTAGTCCTTATCGAAAAATTTTTTTTGTTAAATTTCTTATATATATATATATATATAGGTTGACAAACTAAAGGGACCAGATATTTTTATAATTACAAAGATTAAATTGTTACACGATAAAATTGACTTTTGATTTTAATAAAATTTTTTACAAYATGGACTAAATTGTTACAAATTTTAAATGACAGGAACTAAATTGTTAAAAGTTAAAGTTCAAGGACTAAATTATTACTTTTGTGAAAGTATGAGGACTAAATGTTTACAAACTAAAATTCAAGGGTTAATTTATTACTTTAGTGAAAGTATAGGGACCAAATGTATTTTTTAACCTATAATAAATTTTCAATTAAAATCAATTTAATAGGTAAAATTAAATTACGTGGTTAAATATTAAAATAGCTAAAAAAACATTTATTAAATAACTAAAATTAGAATTAAATATTAATAGGCCAAAGAAAAACTCACAAATTTCACCCTTTATTTCACTTTTAAGGAATGAAAAACAAAAATTATTTCTAAAGTATAAACATACCTACTATCACTTTTATATATATAAAATACATACACTGTTTATTATTTTATTGTCCACTTCAATTTTTCTTTTTAATCATTCTTATACTCGGATCTTCGTCAAAATGATTAATTTTGTTCATATCCAACGGCCCACCCAGACTTTAGAATTTGATATTAGAATATACATCAAATTGGTGCATTATTTTCAAAAAGTATAGAATAATTAAATACAATGTAGTACAATRACTTAAAGTCTTAGATCTCGTGATGATTTTAATAGTTAAAAAAACGAAAAGTAAAGAGGGCAAAGTTGTCCAAAAGATAAAGAATATTATTTTATATATATAAAATTCTCAAATAATTTGCTGTAAATAACTTCACAAATCTTATCTCACGGTGGGAATAAATTCAATTATTAGATGGAAGGATCGAGATCAAAAGATGAATTATAGAACAACAAATAAGAATGAGATTCAAACTCATGACCTCTTCATCGTAAAAGTGTGTCCATTTTTTTTACATATAAAAAAGTGGGTCAATTATCACTTAACTAAGCTCAAATTGACCGTTATAAAAACAAAATTGATTATATCTCTCTCCTATGTTCAAATTTACTTTTTAAAAATTTAATATATAATGGAAGGTTTTAATATATAGATTATAAAATTTCCACTAAAATCTCATAATTTAGTAAACCTCTCAAAATGCCTCTAAATTTATTAAATATTGATAGTTTTTAATATGTCGCATCAGACAAATGTTAAATCTTTGAGAAAGATCTATAAATTTATTAAAACATGAATTTAGAAAAGAAATTAAAAGTAGAGACAAAAAAGAAAAACAAAAAAAAAAGTCTCACCACTACAATTGGTACACGTGCCTTGATTGGCTGGAGGAGTTTTGTCCGCTTTTAATATGTCGCATAAAGACAATCATTAACTTTTGACTAACCATGGTTTAGTAACCTCTTGCGAGGTCAGAAATTCGAGTCCCAAAAAGACAATTTTACACAATTAAAATTTTTTAAAAATTATAAGAATATCACCAAAAGAAAAGAAATATATGTATTTGTATATATAATTAGATTAAAAATTTCAGAAAAGCAGCATAAACTACGCATCACGTGAGACTAACTAAAATTATTTTTTGTGACACTTCTTACAAAATATGAAGTAACGTTATTATGATAAATGCAACTTGAACATGATTAAAACATCTTATCTCCAATTAAAATAGGGTGAGCTCAAATTTTCACAACACATGTCTTAATAAAAAAATATTATTTCTACGAAATATAATTTACCTAAATTCTTTACCAACCCATTAAAGGGAAATAAAAGATAAAGAATCTTAAAATAAAAAAACGTATAATTTTTCAATAATAGTTTAGTATAGAATAAATTTTAATAAAAAAAAAATCTACTTCTCCGGAGAGGATGAATCTACTCACCGTTGCATCTTTGACAACTAAAAAAATATTAAAAATAATAATTTAGATATTAACGAAAATTCTTCGAGAAAATAGGTATTCTTAATATTTAGCTCTCCAATGGTTTTGAATGTAGTCGATATATAAAGTTTTTGTTATTTGTTTTATTGGAAAACGAAAAAAACAAAGAGGGTAAAATGGAGTGACCTTGGTGATATTAGGGACGACGGCTCTGAGCGCGAGAAGGCGATCGTTGAGCTTCTTCCTCCGATTCCTCTCCGATAAGATGTTCTTTGAGGCTTCCAAAGACGACGGCGTTCCGTCCGGCGAGCTCGAGTCGTAGGAGCCGTAGAACGCTTCGTCCAGGCCCGGCCACCTGCGATTGTGCCGCTCGTAAGCCCTAAAATCCAAAATCCACAGAAACAAGAACAAATTACAGAGACGGAGAGGGAAAATTACCCGTCGAACTCTTCGTTGTGCAGAAACATGTTGGTTTCCCAATAGTATTTGTACTCGTCGATAATGTTCTCCATCGGCGGCCGGAGAAGATGGAGCCACTGATTTTGGCCTTCTCTCGCCCAATCCCTTGGTTTCCCCCTCTTCCCTAAGGGGCAGAGTTGAAAGCGAGTCTTTATAGCAGTTCTATTCGTATGGACGCCAGGAGAGGGGGAGCCACTCTTTTCTTTTTTACTTCCAATTATTTATTTATTTAATCAATTTATACTACTCCCAAGTCCCAATCACCACCGCTGCCGATTGATTCTGTCTTTATAAATAATTTTTTTATTCGCAGTCTATAACGTTAATTATCGTTAAGTCATGTTCATTTTATATTCTACTTTAATGTAATAAGGCAAGATTATAGTTCTGTTTAATATGATTATGACATGTATATAATGAACAAAACGAGTATCCATGTGTTTGTCATATCTAAGTAATATTCCTACTCTAATGGTATTAAAGTTTTCTCTTTTGTAATTTTAAAAAGGCTGTGATAGGTTATTAGGTTGGCTTTCTATTTTTTAAAGTTAAAATATCTGAGTAAATTTATAAAATTATAATATTATATTTAATAAATTCATGAACTTTAAATAGAATATTAAAAAAATCTAATACAATTCTTATTATTTCTAACAAGTTATTGGAGTTTATTATATTAATTAGACACGATGTCGAAAAGTTTACAAATATAATACACCTTTTATAATTAAACTTTTAAAACTTCTTTTTTTTTAAATCCACGTGGGCTGCAATCTCGATGCTTTCTTGGAAAGATCTAGACCGTCCAAAATTAAGGACGTTTGGGATCTTCAAGGCCGCATGGCAACGGAATGGCCCCACGCGCCTTCATGACGCGTGGGCTACAACCGACCAAATAATTGCGTAAACGTTAGTTTTATGGTTATTTTGCAATTTACTCCCTCGGTCAACGGGCAATTGCCAGCCGGGCAGCCGGATCCCGTCAGTTTTATACGAATAATACGGACAAGTTTTTTTTCTTTTTCTTTTTCTTTTTTTTGAAACAAATACGGACGAGTTGAATGAATTTATTTTTATTTTGAATTTTCAGTTCAACGTTACTTTATTGGTTTTGATTTTATAACTTTAAAACATTAATTTCGTCCTTGAATTTTTAACTTAATCCCTATATTTTTAAAAATTAATCATTTTGACCTCTTAATTATAAAAATTTATTATATTAATTAGACACGATCTCTTAATTTTAAGTTTGGCTTCTATAATTGTAAAACTTAATCATTTTGATCTCTTAATTTTATTTTTAATTTCATATCTATTACAATTTCAACACGATACTACATTTAATATATTTCTTAAAACGTAATCTCAAATTTAAATTATAACGCCACTATTATATATAGAATTTATGTTAAAATTTTACGAATAGAGATCAAAATGATCGTTTTTTAAAAGTGCATAGACCAAAACAGATATTTTTAAAGTATATATACTAAAACAAATCAAACTTAAAAGTATAGGTAAAATATAGTAATTTGATCTTTTTTTTTGTCTAATGAAATGGAAAGTTTTATAATAATTATAAATAAATAGCACTCATCTTGCTATTTTATCGTGAGTTAAATCTCAAAATTTCCTACCTTTCTTATTAACTCTCTTTTATTAATCTTAACAAATCTATATTATTAATTTTTTTTCATAAATATTGCCTGACATGTTGATTAAATTAAGGTTAAAAAATACATATGATCTATGTTACTTTTACTAATAATTAGTTCCTGATTTTTTAATTATAACGATTTAGTTCTTGTACTATCATATGGATGACAATTTAGTTCTTGAATTTTAATAGGTAACAATTTAGTCTCCTAATTCAAATTTGTATCAATTTAATCTCTATCACGAAAATTCTCGAAATTAAGCGTCAATTTTTATCCTATAACGACTTAATTTTTGTAATTTATAAATAAATTTAATCCTTTATCAATTTATGGATCTGTATATATAAGAAATTTTAACAAAAAATTTTACAATAGGAACTAAATCGTAACAAACTTTAGATTTTAAGGATTAAATTTTATAGTGTAGAGGGATTGAAAGTGTTTTTTAACCTCAAATTAAAAAGCAACGGTGGACCGAAAATCAAATTAAAAAAAAAAGGAAAAAACTGTTCTTTCTCCTGTCTTCACTCTTGGGTCCATCAGCTGTGATGTTTTTCTTCACGAGTTGTTCGTGGCTTATTGTCTCTTTAATAAATTTTGGATTTTAAAATGTATTATTTTGTGAAAATAATGAACGGTTTAAAATTTTCCAACTATCGTGGAGCTACATAAATCTTAAATATATATTTTAGTCTATTATATTTGATATTTTTCAATTTAATTTTGATAAATATAAAAATTGGTTAATCATACAAAAAAAAGTTATGAAATTCAAGGTTAGAGAGTGAAATTATGACTCTAATAATTATAGGGTGATTTTTTTTTTCTGTCTTGTTAATATTTTATTGCTACTTCTTTTCTAAAATATAAAAAATAAAATAGACAGCGGCCAAAATACAATTATTTGTGGACCCATCATTTCAGTGGACGAAAGGACAAAAAATAAAATAAAAATAAATGACTGGTTAGAAAAAAAAAAGAATTATCATTGAAATTGTAATTACTTCTTTTCTTAGTTGGTCATTGTTGATATTGTTGTCTTTATTTATTTATTTGTTTATTATTATTATTATTATTATTATTATTATTATTTTCATATGTATAAATTTCTATTTTAGTCTTTCAATTCCATATTTATTTTATGTTGATCTTTTATTTTAATTTTAAAAAAATGAAAAACAAATTTCATCTTTAATTTAGTTTTTCTCTAAGCTTCCAATATATATTAACATGTTGACGTGGTATGTACTGGTGCGGTATAGATTGACTCGGTAAATATTGAGGGAGTGAATAATATTTAACAAAAGTATACTAAAAATTGTCATGATTATTTTCTAGATATTTTGAAAGTTCATAGAGCAAAATTGATCAACCATAGAAGTCCTAAAATAAATATTTTGACTAAACATTTAAAAACCCAAAAACAAAAAATGGAATGCAATTTAAAATTGATGAATAATGTTGTTTTCAGTTTATTATTTTTTAAAATTATTATCAATACTATTTTATTACCTATGTTTTGCTATGTATTTTTTAAATATGTTTAATTTAACCCAAAATTTTAGAACTAGAAAATATATAATTTTCAATTTTTTATTTTTATTTTTGAAATTTGAGTAAAAATTTAAATATATCTTTTCAGAAAAAATGAAAAACATATATAAAAGTTTGAAAAAAAAAGGCCCAATTCTTATAACAAAAAATTAAAAATAAAATTATTATCCAACGCGAGACAAAAACAAGATTTAAATCTTAATTTTGGAATATTACGTGGGTGAGGTTTTAAGCTTGTAAAATATCTTTGGAAACGAAATAAGTGGCCGTACCATTGCCAAAAAAAGTAATAAATAATAAATAAAACGGGACGAGTCACACCCCCGGTTCGGAACGAGTCAACTCGGCCCTACCCGAGGCCGACATAATCCTGCGCAACTGCTGGGCAGATTTCAGGTGGACAAAATCGGTATTATAGAATTTATTATTATTATTTCTTTTGATGGAGAATTTATTATGTTATTAGCGGGCACTTGTATGTATGTATCTATATATATATATATATATAAATTTATTATTAAAATAAAGACAATGTTGAATAATAGTAGGTGGATGTGTATATATATATATATTTTTAATATTCAAGTATGATGAGTTGTTAGAATAATAATGGAATATCAATTTAATAATATTACTAGATCTAAACAAAATCGAAAACTTACTAAAAGAACTAAATGAACAAATTATATAATTATTATTAAAATAAAAACTTTTATTTCTAAACAGTTAAAAAATCTAATATTGAATCTGAATTTAATTTTAAGACAATGGCAACAATTTACCTTTAAACTTTTGAAGAACCTTAATCTTTTCGTATTCAATTCATTCTAATAGATATTTCTTGCTACCTCCATCACATAGTCGAGACTAGGAGATAAGACTTGGAAAAACTTCAAATAGATCAAATCCGCCTTGGTCCAATTATAAAATTTAGAAAGAATTTATATTGAATGAATTAATTAAGCATCGACTCTGAAGTACTCTACAATAAATTTGGAGTTACACTCTTAATACATGCAAGTCGACCATCAACGAGTTGCTTGTAGTCACAATTCAGTACGTCAAAAGTTTATTTATACCTTAAGTACCACTTTATCTTATAATAAACAATTTGTTTATGATTCAATCATAAACTAAGTATCTCTTGGGCCATTTTCCAGTTTGATCATGTCACAAAAATAGTAGATTTAAATCGACTACGGAATCATTCTCACCTATGTAAATCAAAAGACATATCCTTACAAGCAAGAGTTCATAACTCACCAAGGATTAAGATCAAGTTCGTATATGATCATCTTGTGATTTTTTTTAATGGACTTACCAAAAAAAAAAAAAATTAAACATCGTGCGACTCAATCATTTACAAATTAATTGTAGATGATACTCTTATTTGCATGTCTCCACATGAACGATCAAGATCAATTATTTGTAACTTTTATAAAGTGGATCGTATCAACAGTGTACTAGGATAGGGCACTAGACATCTAAATTTTAGATGCCTTTTTATGATACAACATTTCAAGCTTCTCCCAAAGTTAGTTGGGTATCAAAATTCGATGCAGGTTACATTTGCAATAACATTATTTGCGAAACTTAGTCTTATCGTGCTTGCAGCTCTATTCCTTCCAATCTTCATTACTCATGCTGGACCTCTTAGAACTACGATCCATTGGACCATCATCACTGTTTACCTCTTTAGAAGCACCCCTGCTGCTCATTCTTCCCTCCAAAGGATTGTGTAATCAAATTGTATTAGGACATCCTTGGCTCGCACTTCCCACAAGCTAAAGTTAATCATTCCATCTGATTTCTCCATGTTAATCTTCACTTGAATCATAAAGTTTGACATATCTCATATATTCACACTAATGAATCTGCAAATTGTGAACAACTCACACTATTCACGAGACTATAGATCGTTTCAAGAAATATTTTCCAATATGGAAGTTCATATAATGCTGCAACCAC